TGTTTTATTTGACAGGTTCTTTTAAAACATATCTGAAATAGTTTGTCATTAGTCTTTGGCATTGCAACTGGCAGTCGGCAGAATAAGGAAGCACTAGAAATTTAAACATTTGTTCACAGCTCAAATAGTGGCATTTGACTGAATACTAGCAGTCTCAAAATCATGAACAAAAAAAGGAATAAACAGACAGATAGAGATGTAGACAAATAGCTAAAATACAAGGCATTTAACAACTAGACATCTTGTGCATTTAACAATTTTTATTAGGTTTAGACATGGTTATATGAAAAACAAGTTCTATTACCTAAGTTAGCTTTTATACAAAAATAACCTCTGAAAATTATGCAGCACCGTACCACAATCAACAAGTTCACAACAAAATGAAACTGAACCAAACAACATGCATTTATGTTTTAACTTCAACTTTAACCACAGTCAGAATGCTCAAGAATAAAATTTGGTGGCTGAAATAGATCAAATCAAGCAAGGATAGTGTCATGTCCCAGATGCAACCTAGAAGCAACCAAAGAACTCTTTAGTGACCATATGAAGGTGGTTTCTTGTAAAGCAGTTTATAAAGAAACATTTTGTTCCAAACAGAAGAAGGTGCTCTATTAATGATATGAGCAGCACATAGTATGTAATCAAGCCAGAAAGATAAGGGTAATGAAGCATGAAACATGAAAGCTCTAGCCACTTTGTAATATAAAAAGGTCCAGAATGTGATGTAACAACAAAAGGTCCCCATAGATTACAGTGCATAAGATCAAATATAGAAAGTTTAAATCCAGTGGATCTTATACTGAGACATTCAATCATGCCACTCAATGTGATGTATGTCATTACTCAAGACAAAGCATAATAAATGACATATCTGTTAATTACTGAAGACAAAGCATAGTAAATGACATATCAGTTAACAAAATAATTAAAACAAAGCATGCTTTTATATATTTGACTTCATTTTGTACCAAACACAATTAGAACAAATTAAGCACAATTAAGCAAATGAAACCAATTACAAATCAATGGACTAGCTAAAACAGTCACAATTGAAATAAGTTCTGTGCAAGGATACACAGACAAGTGCCACAACAATTCTCACCAACAATGAATTTAGGATCCATAAAACAACATTTATAGGCATTTGCCTTTTCACATTTTCAGAACTACCAACATATAGATATAGAGAGGTCACAACTGGAAGCATAATAATGTACAAATTAAAGCAAAGCACAATAATCACAACAATCACAACTGAAAGCATAATAATGTACAAATTAAAACAAATGAGTCATCAATACTGTACCACAACAAACAGAGACCATGAACCACATATAATCAATACTCAGAAGGTTAGAGTATTTACCTTACAGGTGAGGGAGAAAAAGCTCACAGCTATAGAGAAACAAACATTTCGAAAAAAAAAACCCAAAATAACATTTCAGAACAGTGGACATAAATTGAAACTGAGAAGGTTATTGTGGCGATTGTTGAGCTCACCTTTAGGACCGATGGAGGATTCCAAGCCTACACCTTGACGAGAATGGCGTCTTCGTTTATGCAGTAACTATGGTTCTTCAATGCTCGATTTTACAACAAAAATGGTCGAATAAATAAAACTTAAAAAAAAAAGTGAAGTAATGGCGATTAAAAGTTAACTCACTTACAGGACGAAGGAAAAACCGAAGCTCAAGCCTATTATGTAACAATGGCGACGATCTCCCTGCAAATAGGGCAAAATGGCCAATTTTTCAAATCGATGTACGCATGGAAAATCGAATTTCAGAAGGTAAAATGGCGATACTGGAGCTCACCTATAGAGGCGACGGAGAATCCGAAGCTAGGGCAAATTGCTTCTCTTCGTTTCTACAAAACATAGGCCAAATTGCTCGTCTTCAATTTTGTGTTCCCCGAATGTTGCGGAAAATCGAATGAAATCGAAATTGAAAATGAGAGTAGAAACAAGAGAGGAGCTCACCTTACGATTCAAAAGCTTCAACCTCGCAGCAACAATGGCGTCGCAGCTTTCAATCTGCACCTAGGGCAAATGCCCGATGTTTCAATTTTATTTGTAATAAAATTGTAAATTCTGCGAAAATAAGGGGTATTTTTGTCCATTTACACAAAAATTTGAGGGTAAAATAGGTAGGATAAAAACGGGATAAAAATATCAGGTGGGGGAGGTGGGATTTTTCTGTCCGGTTTTAGCTGATAAGTGCGTGCCATGTGGGCGCCAGGTCAGTCTAATACTATCCATTTCCCGCAGAGTAAACGCGAGATATCCGGGATTATTTCCCTTATCCTATCCCAATCCTCCAAAATAAACTCCCCCCAAAAGTTTTAGTCAGGGTCATCTACTGATAAAACAAAACTTGAACGCGCAATATTAATATTTTAATAATATTTACTATGCAATTCATGTAATTTATATTAAATAGTTAAAATTAGGAGTTTTATCAATATAAGGCTCGAAAGATGATTGAACTATCAATGTGGGGTCTGAAAGATTTTTTTTCTCAATTTGGGACTTAAATGTTCTAAAACTATCAAATTAAAGACTCGAAAGATGAGTAAACTATCAATGTGGGGCCTGAAAGATTTTTTTCTCAATTTGGGACTTAAATGTTATGAAACTATCAAATTAAGTCAAGAATTAACTAAACTCATAACACCATTAAATTTAGAGTTAAAAAAAAAAACAAAAGATTGGTGTTTAAATTTTTTTAAAAAAATTAATTATTACATTTTATTTTCATATTCATTCACATTTTTAAACTATCAATGCATATGAATTTCTTGACTTATTTATAATGCATCTAGCTATATATATAATTTGAGTAGAATACTTCATGTTCAAAATTGTACTTATTTAATAAACAAGTTGGTTATATGCCTCTGTTTTTAAATAATCAAACAAAAAATGTGCGCTCGTGCACAACTCGTATAAACTTGGTTCGACTCATTTAGCAAACCACGTACAATACCTAGACCAAAACCCAAAATTCTAATTGACTCGATTGCGAGACATTCGACTTATTTTCTTTGATAGAAAATCTCAATTAAATACTTGAGTTTGGATCGTTTAAATATATAAACGAGTCGAGCTTTCACAAGTTGAATCAATCTATATTAGCGGATAACTAGATTTGAATAAATCACACGTATTCAGCCCGGATGAAAAAAGAAATCTTACTACGGTTATGTATTCGCCGAAAAAGTTGAGACATGATGACAAATGACTCCATGAGTCCAAAGATGGGTTATGTGTGCTGTTTTATTTCTTTAGTGCAATTTCTTCTTTTTTAGTGTGCCTATAGCCCATAATTGGTGGTCATATCTTAGTTCTCCAGTAGTACGTGAGATAATGTAATACGTACGCGTGGATAAAATAACAGTGGGGTTGTTTTTAGCCGTTTCTTAAATGAAAAGATAAAATATAATAGCTTTTTATGAAAAATGATAATTTGTTCATAACATTAAGGAATGACTTAACACAGCAAATAATATAATCTTTGAACAAATGATATGTGAAATTACTCCCTTTAATGTTGGAAATAATGGTTAACAATAGGGAAAAAAACACTGAGCAAAACTCAAATTTTTTTATTCAATATTAATCTCAAGAACACTCATTTAACACAAGGTTCAAACAAAAGTTTTTTCGAACTATGTCCAAAAACTCTATTTTCTATCTCTCTTGAAAATCTGTAGAAAACACACAAAATGGAAATGAGTTTCGGGATTCATCAAACCTTATCACTTTTCTTCATAAGATTTCACAAAGAAGAGAAGTATGCATATGTGTCATTTGCCACGTGGTTACAAAATGTAAAAACTAATTTGCCACGTGTCATAAATCTCATTAAGTT